ACTGCTTCTAGGGTAATAACCCTAAGGCTGGCTTAACTCTGAATTTATTAGCTGTTTTACAAATCAAAGCAAAATAAAAACAAACCCCAACAAAACCTAAATCAAACAAAATGATGTAGGAGTCAAGGAGGAAAAATTCCTCCTCTGTGGGTGACTTCCTACTTCCCCGTCCTAAATCCAACTACAGGGTTTCCCCTCCTATGAATGCAGGTGTGCACCACCTTGCCCTGGAGCATCTCTTATCTGGACATCTGTGTATGCAGATGGGATGTGGATAGACTGGGAGTTGTGAGATCTTCCACCCTGATTATTCACACAGAAACAAGGAGTGCCTACTTCGCATATGAGGAACCACTGGACTCTGCTCTTTTCAAGGGCAAGTAGAGGAAGCAGTGTCCAGCTTACATCCATCACCTGGGCCTCCCACTTTCCCACCAGTCGCCCCATCCCAGTGGCCATGATGCAGGTTGCTTTCTTGCTAGGTTCTGAAGGCCTCTGATGATGAACCCCACCTTGCCCACTGTGATGAATCAGTATAGCCAGGGCTGTGTCTTGCATGCAGTGGGCTGAGGGAATGCTGTGTGCCTTTCATCATTTGGTATTGCTTGGCTCTCAGTTTCCTTCGTGTAAAACCAGAGCAAATTAAATGTTCACTTATGCACATCTCCCAGCTTGAGTGTTCTATGGAATTGTTTGGAAAGCCATTTTAAATTATCTTCCATCTCAGAGGCTGTTCCTAAGCAACAGAGTGGTACCTCCCTTTAATCCTTTCCTGACCTCTTCCACCTACGAAGATGTTTCTTATTGAGCCTATGGGAATGTGTATTATCTGTTACATTTATTTATGACTTGGTGGTGACTCCTGGGTTGTTGTTCAGCTTTTCATATGTGTTAGTCCTCTGCATAAAATTAGAGCTCCCAAGCCAAATGCTATATATAGAATGTGCTAAAAAAAAAAAAAAAAAACTGTCAAATAAATAAATATTGCTTAAGGACATAATTCTATCCCATCTAGAGGGGATGCTAGACTAAGGGAGACAGAAAAATAGAGATGAACACTCTTTTTTGAAGTCTTTGAAATTAATGATGCTGTTCTTTGGGGGCATGTGGATAGCAACATGTCTTTCTCTACAGTTCCCTCTGGGTGGTTAGTGAAGAACTCTGGCCAAGGAAAGATTCTGAGACATGAAATACTGGCCAAAGAATTATATTTGATTGTGCTTCAGCCCACAGATTCCCAAATGATTGATGATAGCTTTTGAAATCCTTGTATAAGCAACAAGAAGAGACGTTGAGCTGGGAAGGAACAGTGGAAAATAGCTAACTTGTTTTGGGGGAAGGGTTGGAGATGGGGTGTTGAGCCCAGGACTCCTCGGCTGCACTACACCACTGGTTCTAGAATAATCAGCATAAAGAACAGCTGGAGGGGCTCAAACAAGAAAGCTAGAGAGGCATGAGGAGGGGCAGGGGCAGGGGAAAGCTCTGGGCTTTAACTGTGTAGCCCTTCATACACAGTACCCTGTCATTTCTCATCATGAAATTGCAAGGGGGACTGATATGTGGGGCGCATAATGGAATGTGAAGAGCTCATTGGAAGGAAGAATGCATTTGAGCACTTCCAGTTCCCACTCAAGGGGACCCACGACCTCATGACTTCTTAAAGACACTGCCCCTCCAGCTAACAGGAAGCCCATATGAGCTCTCAACCAACTTTTGCCCTGGCACTTATAAGGTCCTTTGTCTTTGGTGCATGCAAAAATTATATGAAACTTCATTATAAAAAAATAAATTTTGGGTTGGAGAGATGGCTCAGTGGTTAAGAGCTGCTCTTTCAGAGGACCTGGGTTCAATTCCCAGCATCCACATGGAAGCTCACAACTGTCTGTAACTCAGTTCCAGGAGACCTGACACCTTCATACCAATGCACATAAAATAAAATTAAATAAATTAAAAACAAACAAACAAATGTAGGCAGAATTCTCCATCCCAGCAGTTGCTTTCAAATTACCACACTAAAGTTTATATTACTTACAAATGCTTGGCTGAATGCTCAGGATTGTTACTAGCTAGCTCTTACATTTAAATGAACCCATTTCTATTAATCTATGTATTGCCACATGGCTCATGGCTTTACCTGTCTTGCTTCCTGGGCAGCTGGCTGGCATCTCTCTGACTCTGCCCTCCTTCTTCCCATTTCTCTCAGTTTGGCTCTCTCACCTAACGTCCTGCCCAGCTGTGGGCCTGTCCGCTCTTTATTAACCAACAAGAGTAATCCATATTCACAGTGTACAGAAGGATTATTTAACAGCAAGCAAATAAACAAACAGACCTAAATGTTGGGAGTTCCTTCACTTGCTCCCTGTCTCCTGTGACTAGCCTTAAACGTCCACTTAATATTTCACCAACATCAAATTCTTAAATTGCTCTGTGCATGGAAAGCTTAGATAACGTGAAAAGGGGCGTGAGATGCAATGCACGAGGGCTATGCTAGTGTGATCACACATTGGTGAGGCTACTCTGAAGAACTTAAATACCGGCTTACCCAAATGTATTCATGACCATCTCATTGCTGAGGCAAAACACCTAACGAGAGCAAGCTAAGGCTGGAAGGATTCATTTTGGCTCACGGTTTTGAGGATGCAGTCCCTTGAGGGTGGAGAGTGAGAACAGCTCTAGCTATGGCAGCCACCACAATGCGTCTGCAGTGAGGAAGCAGAAAGAGATGGATTCTGGTGTTCTGTTCACTTTCTCCTTTTCACTTGGTCTGAGACCCCCATCCCCAGCCCGTGGAATGGTGACTCCCACATTCAGGGTGGGTCTTCCCTCCTCTGAAAATGCCTTCAGAGAAATGCCCCAAGGTTTATCTTTCAGGGGATTCTAAACCCTGTCAAGTTGATAGCTATTTTAGCCCCTAGGTTGTTGCATTATGTTCAAGAGAAATGAAATATATGAGTATTCAAAACCATGTGTCCAAATGACCATAGCAGCATTATTTATACCAACCAAAATATAGAGTCCGCTAAGATTTCCATCAGCAGAAGCACCAATAAGCACAATATCCTATCGCCTTACAGCAGGACAGTATTCAATACTGAAAATAATGAAGTATTGACTCAGGAAACGTGGATGAACCTTGAAAGCATTACACTGGGAAGAAACGCCAAGCTCAAAGGTTCATACAGTGCATTCCCATGCATCGGGGAGTTCTTTCTTTTCCTCTGCCACATACCCTGAAATATTAGAAACTGGCTCATTTTATCCCTCAACTCACTTTTTTCTGTTGTCAATTAAATCCAGAAATGCCAGGAACAACAAGTCAGCATCCTTGCCACTATTCCCCACAAATTGTCAAAGTTTCATACACAGAGTCACCAAATTCCTTATTCCATGCATCAAGCTTTCAGCTGTTTCTAAACGTTGGCTCTCAGAGGTCTGAATACTCCAGGCGAGTCTTCTGTAACTGTAGGTGCCAGAGGATTGGAAAGTCTGCTTCAGATCCTATAAAAACTCACCTTTAAACTTCTGTTGCTCTAGAACTACTCCTGGTTCCAAATATTTGTATTAGTCAGGGTTCTCTAGAGGAACAGCATATTTACACACACACACACACACACACACACACACACACACACAGGCTGTGGCCCAGCCCATCCAGCAATGGTGTCTACCAATAGAAAGTCCGAGAACCCAGAAGTGGATATCTCAGTTGGTTTTCAGTATACATCTGACTCCCAAAAAAGTAGGCTCTAATACCAGTAAAGTGAGAGTGAAGGCAGGCAGGCAAAGCAAATACCTTTTTCTTTCATGCCTTCATATAGGTTGCCTTGAGAAAGTGTGGCCCAGATTAAAGGCAGGTCTTTATACTTTAGAAGATCCAGTTAACTACAAATCCCTCACTGGTGAGCCCAGAAGCTTGTGTTTTTAGTCAATTCCAGATGTAATCAAGTTGACAACCAAGAATAGCCATAGCAGTGAGTAAGTGGTAATATGTACAGGGTTCCTTTTAGGGTGATGCAAATGTTCTAACTGTAAATAATGAAATAATGTGTGTGTGTATTTACATATACATACATACATACATACATACATACATACATATTGATAAGTAAACAACACCAAACGGATTTTCATTTTGGATACATGGAGTAACTGTGTAGCTCAATGTAGCTTGTTAGGTGTATGGGTGTCTTGCCTGCATATGTGTTTGCCTAAGCACAGCTTTTATGCCTGGTTCTCACAGAGGCTGTGAGATCCTCTGGACCTGGAGTTACAGACGGTTGTGAGCTCAAGTGTGTGCTCTTGTCTGGAAAAGCAGCCACCTCTCCAGTTTCCCAACTGTTTCTTAATCAAAGGGAGCCAAAGGAATTCTTGTGACAGTAATGACAGGCAGGTTTTATAAAAACTGTGCTGTCATGATTTTTTGTTTTGTTTTGTGTTGTGTTTTGTTTTTCGAGATAGGCTTTCTCAGTGTAAACAGCTCTGGCTGTCCTGGAACTAGCTATTATAGACCAGGTGGGCCTCCAACTCACAGAAATTTTCTTGCCTCTGCCTCCCACGTGCTGGGATTAAAGATGTGTGCCACCCCCTATTTCCGCCCCCCTCCACTCCCACCCCAGACAGGGTTTCTCTGTGTAACAACTCTGGCTGTCCTGGAAGTCTGTCATGGTTTTAACTTTATTCCATGGGCTCAGCAATGGCAAACACCTGCCAAAACTCATTGGGATACACAATAAAAACCAATGGAAAGTAAACAGAAAACAAAATGATACATAGTTATCTATGTATCTATGTTTCTATTCTTCACCCCTGTGCCTGGGCATGAGATCAACCAGGGAGGAAGCCCCAGCCCCTAAGATGAGTGTGACTTAGGGCAGGTGGCCAAGCCTCCCTCTGGGCAGCGGAAGAGGGCGGGAACTAGCGCAGCAGGGGAGGAGAGGGAGAACTTGGGACGCGCGGTGGCTTGTGGCAGCTTCCACTGTGCTGGCAGCGCCTGGGGATAGATGCAATGGACTGTGAAGCAGCCTCGGAGCCCGGACCCCCGGCCTGTGCCTGCGTAGCCTCCTGGTGGGATATGGTCCTGAGGAACCTGAGGTGAGTGGGCTTGGTCGGTCAGTCACTTCCACAGCCCTGCTGGGGCCATAGGGCTGAACCTGTCCGTCATCCTCTGCACTGAAGCTTTGGCTTGGGGTTTGGAGCAGGCAGAAATGGGAACACACCGACGACTTCCTGGGCTCCTCGTTTTTTGCTTACTCCGGAGGTCTCTCGGAGATGGCTTTGTCCTACCCAGGCCAGCAAGGCAGGCAGGTTTGACATTTCAGAAATGTGTAAGAGCTTTGGAAATGAGACTCCAAAAAGATGGTTTCTCTTACCTGTTCAACGTGCAACTCTACCGGATGGATTTAAATATTACTAATAATAGAGGCAGCCATAACCGACGGTGTGCTGCAATCGTGGTGTGTGGAGGTGGAGGTGGAGAAGGATCAGATAGGGATAAATGCCTGGCTCCTCAGGTGTGAGTTCCCAGGTGTGTATTTAAAGGGCTGGCTGAATGTCTGCGTATATTGAAATCACTATGTACGTGGTTACCTGTGTAAATTCTTAACATTTTTTGTGTCTGAAAATGTCTGTTTGTCATGGTGTTTTGTTTGTTTGCTTTTAAATATTCTGGCTCCCATTCAATTAATCATCTCCAATCAGTTATTTTGATTAGTCCCACATTACTAGTTTATTTGCTTTTTATTGTTTTGTTTTGAAACAGGTTTTCTCTGTAGCTTTGGAGGCTATCCTGGAACTCTCTCTGTAGAGCAGCCTAGTCTTGAACTCACAGAGATCCGCCTGCCTCTGCCTCCTCAGTGCTGTGATTAAAGAAGTGGGCCACCAGGCCTGGCTACTAGTTTTAGAGCCAAGTGCTGGGTCAGACTGTGGCCCTAGGAGTTGACATGGGAAGGTGTTGGTAGTGTTGTTACATGTCTTCATGCTGCTCCATTTTAATTTGCATTGGTTACAAATTACTCTAGGGTCACAGTTACACACAAGAGACCCCACTTTGGAATGCCCTAGGGATAGTAACCAACAGGGATCGTTTGCTCTCATATCCATTCCCTCCTCCCCCACTCACCACCCCACCCCACCCCACCCCGGCTGCCCCATAGCTGAGGTTAGAGGATGAGTGACATCACATTGTCTGGTTATGTCCACCCTTTTCCCCTTGACATGGCTGCTCTGGCAAAGCTGCCTCCCCTCCCCCCTCCCAATTTGTTCTCTATAAAGCCAGTGGCTGATTGTTTAGCCCTCAGTAGGCAGGAAAGAACATTTCTTAGGTAGACAATCAAAGCTGCAGTTCACAGTCCTAGAGAGCCCAGCATTCAGTTAATAATAGGGTAGAGAGGACCCTCTGCTGCTTGCCTGGCTAATAGTAAAAGACAAGTATCTCGAGACTCAGAAATGCTTCCCGAGAGAACGAAACACTGGTGTGGTTCTTCCTCTGAGCAGAGGGTTATTGATCTAAGGTAAGATGTGATAACGCCGAGTCGAGGCTCCAGCATCCACAGGGCACTGACCCTGCCCAGCCCTGGGTAGCACTATGCCTAATGTGATGTGTGAGGCTGAAGGAGACCATGTAATCAGCCACCATCTTCAGTGGCTGAGCTTTAATACCATCCAAGTTTGCTTTCTCTTGCTAGGGTAAAACACCATGACCAAGAGCAAGTTGGGGAGGTGAGGTTTATTTCATCTTACAGCTCATAGTCCATCATGAAGAGAAATTAGAGCAGGAAGCAAAACAGAGGTCATGGTGTTCCACCACTTACTGACTTGTTCATCCCACTTTCTAAAACCACCCAGCCCCACCTGCCCAAGGATGGTGTGCTCCCCATGACCTGGACCTGCCACGTCAGTCATTAATCGGGAAAATGTTCCTCATACTTGTTTATGGAACAATCCAATGGAGGCTCTTTAACTTAGATTCCTTTCTAGAGTTGACAAAGAAAACTAACCCAGACATATTCTCTGCTAGTATATTTATTTTAAAAGTTCATCCAGTACAGTTACTACCTAAGCTGGATGGGGCCACGAGAATAAATCTTCACTTGCAAGAGAGGAGAATGGAAAATATTCTGAGAGGCAAGCCAGGAGCAAGCTGTCTTCCTCTTTGATTGGCATCACCTTTCTGTTCCAGATGGTTCATAGAGAACTCCTAGGAGGGGCTGAAGATCTTACTAGTTCTTCTCCCAGTACCAGTCATCTCTTATTTATCACGTGCTAACCTGGTACCAGCATCCACAGGAGTAAACAAAACAGGCAAAAATCCCTGCGCTTGCGGAGCTCGTGGTGACTCATTTTTCAATCGTAGTTAAAACAAATAAAGGATGAAGTCTTCCTGTCCCCACTGCCTCTCCCATTGCTGTTTCCTCCCTTATAAACAAAATGCATCTGTCAGTCTTCACCGTAGGGGTCAGCAGTTACTGACTGGGCTTGGCTTTGTGCTAGACAGAGGGGGTGTGGTTCTCAGCACCTGGCTCCTAGAGCAGAAGAGCTAATCATAGGGAAGCAACCCCGAAGCAGTCTGAGGCTCTGCCAGTAAGCAGAAAAGCTATCAAGCACCAGGCAATGGGTAGCCCAGCAAGGTCCTCTGCCCCTGTGAGGCACCCTGTGATTGCAGCTGCAGCTGATTAAGAAGCAGGGGAAAGAACACCCCAGCTCCAAGGTGGCCATTTGATGTGGCCAGCTTATAGCCAGGACTGATGGGAAATTCCGCTCCTCCATGCTCAAATCAGGTCTGTCAGCCACTGGTGACTTTTGACCCAACTTTACCCTCTGCTGACCTAGGGGAAGTCAAATTGACAATCCCCTTATTAGAAGGAGCACCTTTGCGTTATCAATGCTAGGGGATCAGGACAGTCTCTTCTCTCCCAGAAGGGGCTTGCACTGAAGTGCCTTGAGCTATTTGAGAAAAGGGTCCTGTATAAATTATTTCAAAAAAAAAAAAAAAAAAAAAAAAAAAAAAAAAAAAAGAAAGAAAGAAAGGAAAGAAAAGAAAACTTACTTCCTTTCAATGCTGACAAACCTTCAAAAGGTAACTTAGCAGGAGACGACCCTGCCTACCTTCAAAAGATAACTTAGGGGGAGCCTGGAAGGCAAGGAGTGTGTGTCGGGTGTGTGTGTATGGGGGGCGGGGTGCAGGAATGCCAGACAGCTGAAGGCTCACGGGAAGGAAGCCTGCACTGACAGACTTCGCCTTGATCTCTGGCTCAAAGCAGAGTCTTTGGGTTGTGATTTTCACGCCTGAAACCAGAACAGCAATGCCCCGCCCTTTCCCGCTGCCTTCGTGGAGGGTATTTTAGAGACTTGGGAAACAATTCTCTCATAGTCTTGCTGGCTCTGTGGGTAGGCAGTCGCCCACGTATGATATTTGAAGAGCTACCCATTGCCTGGCGCTTGATAGCTTTTCCGCTACTGGCAGACCTGTCCAAAATCCATGATTCACCAATCTCTTCAAGCCTCTTTTACATCTGGATAAGCACTTTGGCTTGTAAGTCCTTAACACTTGCAGGAGAATTGTTTAGAGGTTGACGACTTCCATAGCAGGACAGACAGAGGGACACTCTGAGACAGGGTGAGGAGCAGAGGGGAAAGGACATATGGGACACCATTCCCCAGGAGCAGACTTTTGGTGGAGTCCAGCATCGTTCCTGAGTCATCTTTGTGGGGTCCTCTTTGCTTGCGTGGGACACAAGTAGATCTCAGCAGTGTTGTGACAGCTTGTTGGAGAGCATGACAAAACTCTAGGATCAGGCAGACGTGGGGACAATGATTTATTCATTGGCTTGTGACCTTGAGAAAGAGGAGACTTGACTTTTGGGCAGTTACTACCCAATCCCTACTGGTCTAGCAGAAGGGATTAAGCCAACCTTCTAAGGACATCATATTGAGCAATTAGTGCTGACCAATTACCATAGGGGAAAGGATTTGTGTAATGGGTAGTGGGGATGTAAGTGGGAGGCAGGAGATGACTTTTTATTTCTCACCTCTCAAAAGTAGGACACCATCTTGTATTTCATGAAAAATGTGGCTCACGACAGGTGGCCTTGGTGGGAAGTCATCACTGGGCTACCATGACATTTAGCTTTAGGTATTTGTGTTGAAGAGAATATTAAAAGAAAGATGTGAAGGCTTGAGAACCACTTATGGTGCACATACATACATGCTGGCAAAACACACATACACATAAAATAAATACCAAAAAAAGAAGGAAGATTCGTGTGATCCAATGTCACCCTGCCCTGGTTTCAGCCCTGTTGGAGTGCCTTAGAGTCCTTACTGTCCCAGGTCCTCTTCCTCTCAAAGGCGGGGTCTTCTACAGGTTACTTTTGGAACCCTAGCTAGAAGAGCATTGTTCTTGTGGCTGCTGACTCGGAGCTGGTGGGGCTCTGAGCTGGGGCATGACTAAGCTGTCTGCAGCTGTTTTATGTTTGACACTGGGGTTCTGTCCCAGCCTCCTATGGGCTGCTCACCCAGATGGATGCTCAGAACCTCCCCTCCTGCTCAGAGCCACACTTGGCTTTTGCAGGTACTGGCAGGGACTCTGTCTGATGGCCTTCCTTACTGGCTGCCCAACAGTGCCACTTTGCTTATTTACAAGCAGTTGTGTGAAGAAGTTTGCTTATATGCTAGGGGTAGCCTCTGGAATTGGGTTTGATTTTTTTTTTTTCAAAAAAGGTATTTCTTTCTTTTTTTTTAAAAAAATTAATTGTTTTTATGTGCATTGGCATTTTGTCTGCATGTATGTCTGTGTGAGAGTGTCAGATCTTGGAGTTTCAGACAGTTGTTAGCAGTATGTTGGTGCTGGGAATTGAACCCTGGTCCTCTGGAAGGGCAGTCAGTGCTTTTAACTGTTGAGCTATCTCTCCAACCCCTGCATTTAAATCTTAAAAGAAAAACGAACCAAGACAAAACTCTGGCTGATCTTGAAAACTTTATTCCTCAATATTTTGCAGATTTTTCCCACATGCCTGCTCAGGACTCGTGAGAAAAATAGCTGCTGAATTCCAAAGCTTCAGGAGTAAATCTCTCAAGGAACACATTTTTCCTCCTCTGATGAACATGATGATTTATTTCAATTTTTGTAAGTATGTACTGCTCATGGATATTCGCGATATTCACGTGGTTGCAAGCTGTCTATATTGATGGTTAGCACAAATTCATCCAATTGTTGGAGGGTGTGTGTGTATCTTTGTGTATGTCCATGTGTATATGCTTGTGTGTGTGTGTGTGTATGTGTTTGTGTGTACACATACATGTGTGGGCCCGAATGTTTGTATGTATATGTATGTGTACATGTCCATGTGCATGTGTGTGTCTGTGTGTGTGTGTATGTTTGTGTGTACATATACATGTGTGGGCCCGAATGTTTGTATGTATATGTATGTGTGTATGTGCACATATGGGTGTGTATACATGTATATGTGTCCATGAGAATGTGTGTGTATATATAATGTCTGTATGTATATGTGAGCATTTGTGTGTGTCTGTGTATGTGCATGAGTGTGTATGTCTCTATGTATGTTTGTGTGTATGGGTACATGTGTGTGCCTGAATGTTTGTGTGTGTGTGTGTGTGTGTGTGTGTGTGTGTGTGTGGACCCTGGGTGATCTCATCACTCTTCTCTTGTTGAAGAGGAGTTTCTGGATCTGGCTGGTCTCAGTAACTCACCCTGAGACTCCCCTGTTTTTCCTCCCTGTTGTTGAGATTTCAGGCTAGCTGCCATGTCTGCCTGGCTTTTTATGTGGATGTGATGGGTCCTAACTCTTGTTCGTATACTTGTGTGGCAAGCAAACACATTATCCACGGGACCATCACTGCAGCCTTGGAATCCTTCTCATCTGCATCAATTACAGAAGAGAAGAGACAGAGACAGAGACAGAGGGACAGACAGACATAGATCGATTTCTATCCTCCTCCCCATACTAGAGCCCTAGCTCTCAGCTTCACTTACTGTATTGTATGTCAGTACCAGCTATATCTTGCCACCACCTGGCTAATGATAATGGTATTCCCTGTGGGTTTGTTTTCTACTTACCTTTTAGAGAAATGGTTTTGTTTGCTTTTTGCTCCAGAAAGGGTTAGGATGGCATGAACTCTTCTCTTGCTTAGCTCACAGCTTAGAACTGACTCGCTTAGCAGAGTGGAGCTTCTTTTAAAACTGATGGACAGACATGGGGCCTGATGCTGAGGGTTGATTATGATTTCTGCCTTGCAGATAAAACTCCCCTTCTCGTGGATTTAAAGAGACCAGAATCGAAGATTGCCCACACAGTGAATTTCTTCCTCAGGCCTGAGCCTGGGGTGCTGCTTGGCATCTGGTGAGTGAGCTGGCTGATGCCTTCCTAACTCCGGTTGATTTTTGTGTGGCAAGCACATGAACTATACTCTGACCCATCTAAGAATAAGCCCCTGACCCTCAACTGCAGAAAGAAGAGAAGAGAGAGAGAGATGGAGATGAGATGGACACAGACACACGTGGGGGGTGGGTGGAGATAGAGCAGAACTTTCTGCTAGAAGAGCATAGAGGGTGAGAGGCTGTGTTGCCTGCCTGTGCAGACCTGGCTGTCTGTGGAAGCTTCTAGACGCTGCTCCATACACCTTTCCTTCTATTGTGACAACTCCCCTGCCCCATTTTACTTTATAGAATGTTTGCTTCAGAGTCCGAAGTCTTACAAATTGATGCTCTTGGCTTCTGGCTCCACTCACTTCTGCCTTATTCCATCCACCCTCGTCATTCCTCTGCTGCAGACACACTAGCTCCCTGACAAACGTCACAACCAAGACTTGCCCTGCTGCCTCCTTTTGGCTGGCCCTCCATGCCCCACCCTACCGTCACTCATCTTTTGGGTCTCACTTTGGTTATTTTCAGGGAATCTTCCTTTCCCCTGCTTTTCAGCTTCCTCTTTAGGTAAGCGTGCTTATGGCCATCTGTGTTCAGTGCTTAGAGCAGTTCTTCCTGTCGTCATGGAACAAACATTATGATTACTTGCTCACTTTTGCCTTCCTAATGAGATGATAGCTTCCATGGGTGGACAGCTTCTGGTGTTGGGTTCATCCATAGCCTAACTCCACACAGAACATGCTCAGTTAAGGCCACAGGAGGTCCTGTGCCTTCTATTTCATCTCCGATGTGGTGTTCTTGGGGTCTTCCCTTTGGGTCCACTGCTTACCCTTGGCTGCCATTACTAGTGCTTGACTTCATAGTTCATTTCCCTCCGTGAGTCTGAAGTTCCAGCAGGAGGAGGTTCTGGAAGGGCCTGTATAACTTTTTTCTTATCCTCAAGGACAGCCTAGCCAATAGATTGATTGACCACATGGGCCTGGAGAGGCAGCTGTGTTTACGAGCAGTTATCGGACAGAGGACAGTTTTCCAGAGGTCCTGCAGATGGTGGGCTTCTATTGGTGGGTGATGAACAGGACTGCAGATTCGTTGCCTCTTAGCCAGTTCTGTATGTCCCTGGGAAATGATACAGTATGGCACTTTCAGGGCTCACTTCTTAGCCTAAGGAGACAGAGGAACCTGAAGACAGATGTTTACAATCCCAAAACCACTTAGGCTGCAATCCCTTGGTTAGTGACTTCAGAGCTGGGTAACTGAGACATGAAGAAACCTGTCAGTGGAGAAGAAACTTGCGTGTACACTCTAGGAAGGCTCCCCGAGGTATGTTGCAGACTTTTCTTAAAGCTCAGAAGTAACCAGCACTGTCCTAGTTTGCTTTGTGTTGTTATAAATACCATGACCAAAAGCAACTAGATGGGGAAAGGGTTTTTGTCATCTTACATGGGTGAGGGATGAAGCCAGGAACTCTGGGTAGGAACCTGGAGATGGGAACTAAAACAAAAGCCATGGAGGATGGCTGCTTACTGGCTTGCTCCTAGGCTTATACTTAGCTCTCTCTCTCTCTCTCTTTCTCTCTCTCCCTCCTTTCTTTTTTTCCTTCCTTCTCTCATACAATGTAATGTTTTCCCTCCACTCTTCCCAGCCCCCCATTTCCCCTCTCCCTCCCAGCTTCCCAGGAATATCAACTCAACACAGTGTAACAATTTACAAAAAGACTAGGCACATGGCCTAATACCAAGGCTGGACAGGACAACCCAGTAGGAGGGGAGGGTGCCGAGAGTAGGGGGTGTTGCCAAGAGTGGGCTTCATAACCATAACACATATGCAGAGCCGAAGCTCAGGTCCATACAGGGTCAGTGCTTGTCGCTTCGGCCTCCATGAGCCCCTCTGATCCCTGCTTAGTTGATGATGTGGGTTGTGTTCTCGCGGTGTCCTGACCCCTCTGGTTCCCACAGTCCTTCCTCCTCCTCTTCTTCAGGGTTCCCCTGGCTTCACCTCGTATTTGGCTGTGGGTCTGTGCATTTCCCATCAGTTACATGATGAGCTCCGGTTTTAGTAATAATGTCATTGATTTTTCCCCCCAGTCATGTCCTGTCCTGGGTCTTTGAGCTATCTAGCCTCTGGTTCCTGGCCATCCAGTGTCTGGCATGGGCTCCCTCTTGTAGTGAGGGTCTCAAGCTGGACCAGTCATTGGTTGGCCATTCCCACAAGTTCTGTGCTACCATTACCCCAGCTCGCCTTTCAGGCAGGACAGATTGCACGGGGAAGGTTTTGTTGTTGGATTGGTAACCCAGTCTCGCTGCTGGAAGTCTTGCCTGGCTATAGAACAGGGCTAGCTCAGGCTCCGTATCCCACATTACTTCGAATTCTCACTAGGGTCACCCTCAGATCCCAGGAGGTTCCAACTGCACTAGGTTCCTACAGCATTGGCCTTCTTTCCTCCTGAGCCTTCCGTCATCTCTTCCCAGGTGTGTCAAGTTAACGACCAAGATTAGCCATCACCTCCACCCACATGATGCTGTGAAGCATCATTAATCTTTATTATTAAGTTCCCATGTGTGCATATGCTGAAACCTGAGCATCAAAACTTAAGCAACCATTGAAATGTATGAGTTGGTTACTGAGAGAGGAAAAAAAAAAGAATAACCTGGGTTCATGTTCAAATTCTGAGTGAATATCATTACCTTTTCCTTGTTTCAACCTTTGTTGTTGTTGCTTTTTCAATACCTTCCACCTGAGAACTGAAATCTTGGAAGCTTAACAGGAACAAAAGTTGCAAGAATTAGAACAGTAAACAATTAACATACCCTGTGTGGGGTAGTACAGTAGCAATAGCAATTTTCCTCAGATGTTTTGTGCTCTTAGATTTTATTAGCTTATTATTATCTTATGCATGTGTTACTCAGATTAAAAAAAAAAACTTTTAATGGAAAGGAAGCAAGTTTCTGCCTTTGCAGTTTTGTAAAACCTCTCCTTGTTTTTCAGGCACACGGTCCCCAGCTGCCGGGGAGAAGATGCCAAGGGGAAGTGTCACTGCTGGTATGAAGCTGCCCTTCACGATGGGAACCCAATTATTGTTTATCTTCATGGCAGTGCACAGCACAGGTCAGCATCTCTGCTTGGAGTATCTGTCTGTCTATCTATCTATCTATCTATCTATCTATCTATCTATGTATCTACCTGTGTATCTATCATCTATCTTTCCATCCATCCGTCAATTATTTATCTCTGTCTAATTTCGAGAGATTCAGAGCATTTCTAAGCCATGGGAGACTGAGACTGAAAGTAGTTTTCAACCACAGACATGCTTCGCCTTTCTCTATTCATTATTTAATATGCAAAGATATTCTGGCAAATGCCTTCTCTTTAAACAATCAGTCTGCATGTAGAATGATATGGGCTTGTTTCCAAAAGGGAGGGACTAATGTTTCTTCCAAAATGTCTATATTGATTTCAATTAAGTCACTGGTTTTTTTACTCCTCATGATTATCCAAGACAATAGATTGAATCCAAATAGAATCAGTTGTTTTTAAACCAAGAAAGGACTAGAGCTAGAAGCCTGGAGGAAGGGAGTCTCTTGTGTGTGTCCAACAGGAAGAACTGTTCATAGAAGACTTGACAGAACCACAGCCTTGCACAAAGACCACTGGGGAATATCTGCCCAGCCCCTCTTCCCTCAGCCTCAGGATGGTTGCTTCTAATCCTAGTAGCTAGGAACAATTGTTTCCAAATAACTTCATGCAATTCTCTTCATTGGCCTGTGAAAGCTAACCCCTGCATTTCTTTGAATATATGCATAGATTTCTATGCATTGCCATTGTGACACTTACTAGTTCCAAATAGTCTCCAAATACTCCTTGGATTGACAAACCCATGGACGACTAGAAAGGGTTTAGGCATGCATTAAAGGGCGAACTACTAGCAATTTCCACACTGGTGGTCTCTTCCATAAAATGTTAGTGGGAGTCCTTTATTTATCATTAATTCCTTTTATTTGAAGTGTGATGCCTGAGAGAAGTTACCTGGAACTCTGACCACAGAAATGGGGGACTGATAGATTCCAGGCTAACATTCATGTGTCAACTGTGTGGGATTGTCACAAAGCTGGCATCCCAGAAGCTTGTTGTCCTTTGATGTGTGCTATCAAAGCCTTTCCTGGCCCACAGGGTTACAGCTGGGGACTGCGGGGATGAGAGGGGGGGTGGGGGGAAAGGGCAGTGAATCACAAACCTCCCTCACATCTGGGGCTGACAGGGTGGAGGGGAGGGGGGCAAAGGAGTGGGGGGTGAGGGGCTGAGGGGTGGGGCATTTCAAACCAAGTGACAGGCTCAGGACCCTGCCTGCTGGCTAGCTGGCCTGTGTCATTGTCTGTCAGGTGAAGCCTTTCAGGCTTTCAGCCATTTTAGAATAGCACTCCCTAAGATGATTTATTTTTCAGTGAAGCTGAACAATGGGCCTTGTTTAACATTGTCCTGATGTATGAAGTTGGACAGTATTACTGTAGGTTTATTTAAAGGATCAGTACACCATCCTGCCATGCCCTGTGCCTGTGTGTGAATCTGAAATTGTCCCCAGGTGACCCAGATCCAGAGGCCACACCCTCCTCAGCCTCTCCCCTGAAGTCTCAGCTTAAGTCAGCAGTCCTGAGCCCACAGTGCTGAGTACTGAGTTCTGAGCACCATTCCTCAAACAGGAAGCCACAGGAGTTCTTGTCAATGCCCAGGATCAGCGTTTTTAGGCTCTAGATCTATGGGGGACTTGAGAGCTTTTGAACCCATCCCTAAAGTCCTATATAAAATGTTCACATTCCTGTTTCTAGGAAATGGGTTTAACAAGGTTCTCAGAGGTTCCATGGCTCATTAACATTGAGCACTGTTGGCTCTAGCTAATGGTTTTGTTTGTTTTTTAAGGGATTTTCTGCCGTTTTGCTTTCTTTTGTTGAGGTGATTGTGGACACTGTCGTTTGGGGGGCGTTTGGTATTCTCAAAGGCAGGTCTTTCTCCTTCATTTCTGCTTGCACTCTGTGGTGGAGTTAGTGGGGTTCAGACAAACTGTAATTGAGTGCAGGAGATCCAATCCCATCCCACTGATAACCCCAGTTCTGAAGTCACTTTTTGGAACATTTCCTTTAGCTCACAGAGGCCGCCTAGAGGGAAGCTCCGCTACACAGCACCCAGAGATGGGTTATCAGTACTTTGTCAGACACTTGTGTTGGGAAGTCCTGGAGAGACCAGTGCATCCAAGGAAAGGCAGGGGTGGGGGGGGGGCTTTCAGCCATTGGCCTGGACACAAGCAAGCTGGTCTTGCCACTAAGAAATAGTCTATTTGGTGTGTGGTGGTGGTAAACTGCGTTTAATCCTAGCACTCTTGAGGCAGAGGCAGGCGATCTCTGAGTTCAAGACCAGCCTGGTCTATAGAGTGAGTTCGAGGACAGCCAAGGCTACACAGAGAAACCCTGTCTACAAAAACAAAACAGACAAAACAAAAGGACCAGTGTTAGGCCAGGCATGATGATACCTGCCTTTAATCCCAGTACTTAGGAAGCTGAGGCAGACAGATGTCTGTGAGCTTGGGGTCAGTCAGTGCTCCACAGTGCAACCCTGTCTCAAACAACAATAACAACAACAGAATACACAAAACCAAAACAAAAATCTCAAAGAGAAAAGGGGAAAATTGTGAGTAGGATGAGCTAAAGCCTGAGAGTGAGTCGTATTGACTTTGTCATGGTCGTTCCTAATTCTTTCTCCCCTCCACAGGGCAGCTCCTCACAGAATTAAGCTGGCAAAGGTATGTCCGAGAGGCCACAGAGCACCAGCACTCTGAATCCCTCCAGTTCTGCCAGGGCTGCAGTCTGGAGTTCTCCTTGAGGGCCTCAGTGTGATGGTCCCCTGAGAGATCTGTCCCCTCATGAGTGGCCTTCTCCTCATCCATTACCTCAATGGGGATGGGAGTGTGTATGTGTGTGTGTATGTGTGTGTGTGTAAACACATGGGAATAACTCTGGGAGTGTGTGTGTGTATGTGTGTAAACACATGAGAATAACTCTGGGTGTGTGAGCGAGTGTGTGTGTAAACACATGGGAATAACTCTGGGAGTGTGTGTGTGTATGTGTGTAAACACATGGGAATAACTCTGGGAGTGTGTGTGTATGTAAACATGTGGGAATAACTCTGGGAGTGTGTGTGTGTGTGTAAACACATGGGAACAACTCTGGGAGTGTGTGTGTGTATGTGTGTAAACACATGGGAATAACTCTGGGAGTGTGTGTGTGTGTGTAAACACATGAGAATAACTCTGGGTGTGTGAGTGAGTGTGTGTGTAAACACGTGGGAATAACTCTGGGAGTGTGTGTGTATGTGTGTAAACACATGGGAATAACTCTGGAAGTGTGTGTGTGTGTGTAAACACATGGGAATAACTCTGGAAGTGTGTGTGTGTGTGTGTAAACACATGAGAATAACTCTGGGAGTGTGTGTGTATGTGTGTAAACACATGGGAATAACTCTGGAAGTGTGTGTGTGTGTAAACACATGGGAATAACTCTGGGAGTGTGTGTGTGTGTGTGTGTAAACACATGAGAATAACTCTGGGTGTGTGAGTGTGTGTGTAAACACATGGGAATAACTCTGGGAGTGTGTGTGTGTGTAAACACATGGGAATAACTCTGGAAGTGTGTGTGTGTATGTGTGTAAACACATGGGAATAACTCTGGAAGTGTGTGTGTGTGTGTGTGTAAACACATGAGAATAACTCTGGAAGTGTGTGTGTGTGTGTGTAAACACATGAGAATAACTCTGGGTGTGTGAGTGAGTGTGTGTGTAAACACATGGGAATAACTTTGGGAGTGTGTGTGTGTGTGTGTGTAAACACATGGGAATAACTCTGGGAGTGTGTGTGTGTGTGTGTGTAAACACATGAGAATAACTCTGGAAGTGTGTGTGTGTGTGTGTGTAAACACATGAGAATAACTCTGGGTGTGTGAGTGAGTGTGTGTGTAAACACATGGGAATAACTCTGGGAGTGTGTGTGTGTGTGTGTAAACACATGGGAATAACTCTGGGAGTGTGTGTGTGTGTAAACATGTGGGAATAACTTTGGGAGTGTGCGTGTTATTAACCCTGGGCCCCCAAACCCTTTCGTGATTTTTATCTCATTTCTGCAAGTTTCTTCACCTGTCTGGACAGGTACTTTCTTTAAACAAAAGATCTTCGTTATCAAATGATTTCTTTTATTTCTCCCTCCCTTTGCCCCTTCCCCCTCCCCTAACATTGTTATTTTCACTTGTGCTTACTCTCCACTGGTCTTTTCTCTTTCATATAAAACCTTTGATATTATGGTTGTACCGATATATAAACTTATGTTGCACGCTTTTATACTCTTGTATACACATTTTTATTTTCTTGTTTTTCTTTATCTGTTTTTGAGACAGGTCTCACTATATAACGCTGGCCAGCCTGAAATTTTTGATATAGACCAGGCTGGCCTTGAATCATGGAGAACTGCTTGCTTCTGCCTCCCAGTGCTGGGACTAGGCATGCATCACACACTCAGCTATATTTTTCACGTTTTTACATAAGGGTCATAATTACAAATTTAAAGACTATATGTTTTCCAGTTTATTCTTAAGTAACTGCTAACTAGCCCACTGATGTTATAAAGTTTCACTTTTTTCCTCCTGAATTTATTTAAATAGTACAGCTACAAAAAACTTAAGGCATCTGTTTTGTTTCCTGTGTCCTGTTTTCCTAGGAGTAGTTATTGGGGTCTAAGAGTTGTTACTGCTCTCCTTACTCAGTGTGGGGTGCTACAAGCTACTCATGCATATTCCTCCTCCACTTCCTGGTACCCACCTGTTTGAAATTAAATTTTCCTGTTCTTTCTTTCTTTACCTAATTGGGGCTGAGCAATGGTTTCATATATTCAAGTGGTAAACTCTTTATTTTTTAGTTGAAAATATAGCTTTTATCTATCCATATTCAAATAACCCCCCCCCCCCGTTATGAGATTGCCTCTCCCCACAACAACTCTGTGTAGCATTTCATTCTCAGAGAAGTTCATTCATTCTTTCAGAGTGTGTGTGGTTTGGGGGGTCAAGCCCAGAGTCTTGAGCATGTTAGCCGAGCACTCCACCTCGGGGCCACTCCTCCAGCTCTAGACAATGCTTACCTGGGACTGTGACATGGAAACAAGCCCATTGGTACAGTATCTATCAACCCTCCAGCAACCCTGAATAATATTTGCATATTTGAATGTTTAACTAGCAGGCTAATGTCGTTATCGATGCTTGTGGAAGAGCCCTGGTGACCCAGGCTACTTTCCATTTTTTCCGTAGACTCTCACGTTGTTAGTTTTTATTTCTTTATTTTTCTCTTTACTTTTTTGGTGGCCTGCCACCCAGCTCCCATATAAATCACACAAAGTGTTACTCTCTCTTATGAATGCCCAGCCCTGGCTTGGCTTGTTTCTAGACAGCTTTTCTTAACTTAAATTATCCTGTCTACCTTTTGCCCTTGGGCTTTTACCTTTCTCTATTTCTGCATTGCTTTCTTTACTTCTCACTCCGTGTCTGATGTGTTGTTGGGTGGCTGGCCCCTTGTGTCCTCCTCTCCTCCTTTATCTTCTCCCCTCTTCTCTATTTATTCTGTGTGCATGCCTGTCCCGCCTATCTCTAGTTCTTGTCTAGCTATTGGCTGTTGAGCTCTTTATTAGAATCCAGGTGTGTCAGGCAGGAAAACAACACAGCCTCACAGAGTTAAACAAAGGCAACATAAAAGAATGCAACACATCTTTGCATCATTAAACAAATACCCCACAGCATAAAAGAATGTAACACATCTTCAAATAATGTTCCACAGCACTCTCATACAGAGTCTTTGCGGTTCTGGGACTCAAACTAAGCACCTTGAGCACACTAGTCATGTGCCTTACCAGTGAGAGGTATCCCAGCCCTTCAGAATACGTCGTTCCTCCCATTACAACAGAGGGACATAGATGTATTGCAGAGGAGCCTTCCCTGTTGGGATTGTCTAACTTTTTGAAATGATAACGGTTTGTCTGGCATGCAGGTGCTGAGTGACGGAGGCTTTCATGTCTTATCAGTGGACTATAGAGGTATGTGTTGAGAATAATGGACAAAGACATGATGGGGATGGAAGGTCTTCAATGACTCCTCGGTCTAGAGGGTGTGATACTTGTGTTGGCCTCTTCTTGCTGCCAGGGTTTGGGGATTCTACAGGGACACCCACTGAGGAGGGCCTAACCACAGATGCGATTTGTGTCTATGAATGGACCAAGGCAAGAAGTGGCAGGACCCCTGTGTGTCTGTGGGGACACTCTCTGGGAACAGGGTAAGTGGGAGCCCAAGTGTTGTCCTTTGGGGGGGGGTCCTTGTGTCTTCACTAGTGGTTTTGTGTCTTCAAAGGCACAGCAAACAGGGAAGGGGAACCAAACTGGGACACCTCAGTTCCTTGGTCTCTCTCCCACTCCAGAAATGGTAAGAGAGCCTCCCTGACAGTGTCTGCTTTCAAGACAGTGGCAAGTCCCTTAAACTCCCTGCATAACCTTGACACGGACGTCTACTCTGGAATAATCTATGAGTGCATTAAAGAAAAAGACCCTAAAATTAGGGTCTGTGGTATCCTTTGAAATTCTTTCAAGGCCAAGAGCGCAGAGCTTTTCATCAATTGCTGGTTCTGGGTTGTTGAGACCACAGTGTCCACTGGACTGCCGAGTTTCACACCCATGCTGTCAGTGTCCACTCGACTGCTGTGTTTCACAGCATACTGTTACTGTTTGTATTACAGAGTCGCAACAAATGCTGCCAGAGCTCTAGAGGCAAAAGGTAATGTAAAACTCTTCGATGGCAGGTTTGGGGCTTGGGGTAGAAAAATAGAAAGTTAGGAGTTTCTGTGAAATTTGTTACATACTTACCACAGACTCCATGGTGCTCTAGTTTGCAAGGATTTTTTAGCGGTGTAACCACTGCTTTTCTGGGCTAAAATTACTTGGCTGGGCGTGGCCAATCACACACCCATAATCCCAATGCTTAGGAGGCTGAAGCAGCAAGACCCCGAGTTTGAAGGTAACCTGAGCTGCAAAGCAAGTCCTCTTGCTGGCAGGATGTTAATTTAAATCATGGGACAGGAAAATAATATATCCTGAGGATAGCAATAGCCACACTGCCCTCTGCAGTCCGTTTTCCATAACATTCCTGTCAGTGTTTGTCAGAGCTGAGTGGAGTGTATATCAGATTCTGACAACATAGCTTCCTTCCTAACTGATTTTATGCATCTAGAATCTCTGTGAATAGATGTGAACAGGGCCAGACAATTTGTGTAAAGATTAAAAAAATTAGTATGGAAGTGTTGGATGGAAAAAAATTATTTACCCTAATGCTGTTACTAAATTGGAAAAAAAAATTCAAGACCAATTGTTTGTGGTTTATTTTTCTTTTGGCAGTTGCTTACAGATCCTCACTTCTAAGTTTGCTTAGGTTCACTGAAGAACATGTAACCTTTGCTTTATCTGTCTAGCACCTATCTATCTATCTATCTATCTATCTATATCTATCATCTATCTATTGTCTATCAATCATCCATCTTATAGCAATCTCTTCTATCTATCTCACTATCTCTATCAGCTATCAATCACCCATCTATCATCTATCAATCTCTTCTAGCATATATATCATCTATATCTATTCATCTATCATCTATCTGTTATGTATTCATCCGTTTATCATCTGTCTGTCTGTCTGTCTGTCTCTGTCTCTGACTAAAATCCTGTGGGCTCACTTTGGCGCTCTTAAGAGTTCTCACTCTTCCTCTACAGCCCCAGAGCTGCTCTCCCCAGACTGAAGTCTAACTCACAGTCTCTCTCTCTTTCTTCCTCTTAGCCACCCTGACTTCTAAAGCTGTGGAGACTTACAGCTTGCCTAATGTGTAAAAAATGTACTTGGATTCAGTCCCTCCCCCTTTTTTTTCTTTAGCTGTGCTAGGCATCAAACCCAGGGCCTCGTGTGTGATAGGCAAGGACACCACCCCCGAGTTTCAGTCTGGTCTCTTTTGTTTTCTCTTTATAGACATACTTACTTTTTTTTTTTTTTTTTAAGATTTATTTATTGTGTTTACAATGCTCTGCTTACATGTCTGCTTCAACACCAGAAGAGGGCACCAGACCCGATTACAGATGGCTGTGAGCCACCATGTGGTTGCTGGGAATTGAACTCAGGACCTTTGGAAGAGTAACCAGTGCTCTTAACCTCTGAGCCATCTCTCCAGCCCCCAGACATATTACTTTTGATTAAGGGGTAGCAATCACATATGGAAGATGATAGATTGAAGGTGTAGGTGGTGCTGTGTTATTCCAGGAATATCCTATTTTGCTCCTTCAGGACATTTTGGGTGTGGATAAAGTCACCACGAACCAAGCAGAGAATGAGTTGATTTGAGGCTGGACTCAGACCTTATCAGGGTTGTTTTATATCGAGTGCACTGTTTCTCCTAGAATGAAGTCCTTTGAGATCACAGCCAAAACTCAGAGAAATGGTTTGCACACTCACATACACACATACACATACCCCTGTAGCAGGCTTTTTTTTTGGGCTTCCAACCAGATACCAAATCATGACAAGGAGACTTATTATTAGTTATGAATTCTTGGCCCTAGCTTAGGCTTGTTTCTTGTTAGCTCTTATAACTTAACCTATTTCTCTTCATTTACCTTTTGCCTTGGGGTTTTTACCTTTTTTGCTTCTGTAGGTCCTACTCCATGTCTAGCTGGCTGGCTGCTGCCTGGCTGCCTGGCCCTGGGTGTCTCCCTCTCTTTCATCCTCATTCTCTCCTCTCAAGCTTAGATTTCTCCTACTTTTCTCTCTGTCCTCCAGCCCCTCTATTGCCTTGCTATTGGCTGTTCAGCTCTTTATTAGATCAACCAGGTGCCTTGGGCAGGCTAGGTGAAACAGATGCAACACAGCTTTACATAATTAAACAGATTCAGCACAGCTTTACATAATTAAACATATGCAGCATAAACAAATGCAACACACCTTTACATAGTTAAAAGTAATATTCCACAATGTATGCCTTTTCCATGTACATTTCCTACCTGTCCTCTGAGTATTAACCAATCAACCCAATCAACCTCTGGCCTATTCTTTAAGAAGGACTGTAGACCCCTTTGTCCTTATAATACTTTGCTTTCTTATATTTTCTGAGCTCTGGAAGTCTTGTACTCTTAGTAGAAGGCAGTGGTTTCAGTTATCATGTGCATAGACATACTCGAGGAGGAGCGGGCTTGTTTAGATTGCATACTCTGGAGCTGGAGTAGTGCCCCAGTCAGTAAAGTACTCGCCATGCTGACTTTGATGTCAGTTTTGTCCCCAGACCTATGTGAGAAAGCCAGGTGCAATTGTGGGATATTTACTTATTCATTGAGCTGAACACCGAACACATGCTCACAGAGATTGCCTGCCTCCACCTCCCAGGTGCTGGGACGAAAGCTGCATACCATCATGCCCACTGTGGTGGCACATCTCTAATCCCATCACTGAGGAAAGTATGAACAGGAGGGTTAGTAGGGTTCACCGGTCAGCCTGCTTAGCCTCACCAGCAAGCTCCAGATCAATGAGAGACCCTGTCCCCAAACAAGGTGGATGGTTCCCGAGAGCAATATCTGAGCTTGGCCTCTGGTCCCCACATTCAAATGTACACATGAGTATGCATGCTGGCATATATGTGTGCACTCACATGGATCTGTTTTTGTGTGCACACACACATTCTCAGTCCCTGCCCCAAGACTGTCCCTCGGGTATGGTGTGGGGTTAAGGAGCTAGCATATTAAAAACACCTCACAAATGGTTTTAATATAGGCAGTTCATGTACAAGATCCTGAGGACCCCTTATCTAGGGAAGGTGGTACTCTGGTATTTAAGGGGAGAGTTACTCATCAAGTTTTCAATTGTTTTTATTATCTAGGATGCCCAGTAGATGCCATTGTCTTAGAAGCTCCATTTACGAACATGTGGGTGGCAAGTATCAACTATCCTCTGCTAAAGGCGAGTCTCCTGCCCGCTCTTACCTTATGTTGAAGTGTAGGCTGTTTCCACACCCAGGTGTTTATGAATATGGCTCATTTTAAAAATGAGCTTTGTATGTTCTGGAGTTGTTCTAGCTTGGTCAGTTTACTACTGAAAGCACAAGAGCCTCTTCTAACAGACAGGAACTGAAAGTCCCCCCCCCCATCAACTATATATGTTTGTATTATAATTATTTTAGTAATGCACTACTGAAGTTAGCAGACACGTTATAATTTTAAAACTGATCAGACATAGATTTGTTATGAAAATTACTCTTCTTAAATTGAAACTAAAATTTCGACATCAGTTTCAGCTCTATGAATGCCAGCCACATCTCTTACATTTTTGGTTGTGGGCCTAACTTTTAACGGCTGAGCCACCTCTCCAGCCCATCAGCCACATCTCTTACATAATTTTGTCATAAGGGAGATTCTAGAGAAAATGCTGCTTCTGTAGAACATTCCAGATATGGTCAGCAGTCTTCTCAAGAAAATGAAACATAAAGATGAGTTAAAAGCACACCATCCTATTATTATTATGTTATTTATCTTTTTTTGAGATAGGTTTCATTTCATAGCTCAGGCAGCACTTGAACTCACACCAAGTAGCACAGACAGGCTAGCTTCCAACCAATGACAGTCATCTTGTCTGGAATTAACAGTGTGAGTCTGACCCATTACCCATTTACAAGCGTTCCCAGGCCTAATTTTCAATTGTTGGTAGTCACATGCCCACAGTGACTGTTAACAAATGAGGGGTTAGCAGCGAAGTCTGAGGAAAGGCAAAGGTTTTAGAGGAGATACAGGCACACGTTTTAAATTACTTGAGGCTATAAGGCATTCCACGGATATTTTAATCTGTTAATTTCTGAAATGTTTTGTATCATAAGCCATCACAGTGTTTTCTGAAGTCTGCTTAAGTGTTTTCAGGGATCGGGCAGCCATAGCTATGTATATCTTTGTAGTGATACTATCCATGTGTGTGTCTCTAAGGAGTATAGCTTTATTTGAGCTTCTTTATACAATTACACAGATTACATTCTACTGCTTTTTCTCTCCTAACATTATACTTGTGAGATTTTATTCTGGATGTCTGAAACTGTAGTTTGGTCATTTCCATTGCTATATGGTATTCAGTTGTGATGCACATATGACCATTTATAGGTTCATCGTGTCACTTCTGGGTATTCAGGTCATGCTCAGTTTGAGGCAGCTCATGCCATTGTTATTGTATATGTTCTTTCTGTGTGTGTGTCTGTGTGTATGCTGGGACTTATACTTATGGCCTCACACATGCTCTAACATCAAGCTATGTACCTTGGTGTGTATTCTTTTTGTTGGTTTGCTTGTTTTTTGAGACAGGGATTCTCTGTGTAGTTTTGGAGCCTGTCCTGGAACTCACTCTATAGACCAGGCTGGCCTTGAACTTACAGAGATCCACCTGCCTCTGCCTCCTGAGTTTTTGGATTAAAGGCATGCGTCACCACCACCCGGCTTGGCGTGTATTCTATTTTTTCTTCTCTGTGTGTTTTGCTTGTGTATATGTACCACATGTGGCAGTGCCTGCAGAGGCCAGAAGAGGGCACTGGATCCTCTGGAACTGGAGTTTCAAGTGGTTGTGAGCTGCCAGTAGGTGCTGGGACTGCGAAACTCAGGACCTCTGGGAGAGCAGCCAGTGCTCCCATCCCTCCAGCCTCCACTCTTTCTGGTAATGTGTCACTAGGGGAGCCTGGGGGATGAATTGCTGTGTGTGAGATTCTGCTGGAGCACTTACACTGCTATGTGGTTTCCAAAAGTGACTTCGCCAGTCTATCACCCACTAAGTGTATGAGCCTCATAATTTATCACAGGTTTGCCCTTGTATTGGTCTACCACTGGTTTCCATTTGCATTTCTCTGCTGAGTAATGAGATTAGGCATTGTTACATGTTCATTGGCCATTTGGATATCGTCTCCTGTGAACTTGTCCACATCTTTCTCCCATTTTTGAGTTGAGCTATATTTTACTTGTGGAAGTTCTTCATAGATGTTAGCATGAGTCATTGGGAAATTGCACTGCAGCTAGATTACAGTACTTTGTCTGGCCTTTTTTCTTCCACGAAGAATTCTTCGGAAACTAAATGTAGAGCAATTCACCATTTTTTTTTTTTTTTTTTTTTTTTGCAGTTTATGCTTTAGTGTTTTGTATACGCAAATTCTAGTCAGGCAGTGGTGGCCCATGCCTTTAATCCCAGAACTTGGAAGGCAAAGGCAGGCAGATCTCTGTGAGTTCAAGGTCAGCCTGGTCTACAGAGCAAGTTCCAGGACAGACTCCAAAACTATATAGACAAACCCTGCCTTGAAAACAAACAAAAAAATTCTGCTCACCCAAGTTTACTTACAAAGATATTTTTGTATGCCCTTTTCTAGAAATTGCTTGATCTTTTATGTTAAAAGTTACAGTTCACAGGTTTGGTTGCTTGTGTGGAGGGAGACATCCTTAGGCTCAGGACCAATGGTCATTCTGCATCACCAGTATGTATATGCAGTGGAGTATACATACGCAGTACTGGTACATTCTCAATTCCTGTGACTATTACAACATTTTATCATTTCAGCATATGCTATATCTTAATGTTTGCTGTAAAGTTCCTCAGTTTTGTTCATCCTCAACATTGCCTTTGGTATTCTTAATTTTTTTCGTTTTTAATTTTTATTTTGTACATATGGGTGTCTTGCCTGCATGTATGTCTTGCACATTACATGTATGTTGTACCTAAAGAGGCCACAAGAGGGCATCAGGATCCCTGGGACTGGGGTAACAGATGATTGTGAGCCACCATGAGAATGCTGGGAACTGGACCTGGGTCCTCTTGCAAGAGCAACAAGTACTCTTAACTTCTGAGCCATCTCCTCCCTACCGTCACCTTAGCTATTCTTAACCCTTTGCATTTTCATATATATTTTGGAATATTCTTGTCAATTTATACAAAAAAATCTGGACTTGGATTGGGATTGCATTGGATCTATTGATCAGTTTGGGGGAATTGATAACTTTCTAATACTGACGGGGCATGAATGTGTTATTGTCCTTTGTTTACTTTTTCCTTTATTGCTTGTTTGTTATTTAGTTTCTTTAGTTTCTGCTTTATTTTCTGAGAAGCTAACCCAGGCAAGAACTTTTGTGTGTGGCGGACTGTGGGAACCCACTGAGGAAAGCCCCACAGGGGAAGGAGATGCTGGCATAAGGAAAGAGGTCAGCATGAGTGTGTGTGTGTGTGGGGGGGGCAGGTCAAGCTCCAGATTTGAGGTATTGAGGCCTATTTTTTTCTGCTGTCCCCACAGTAGAAAATGGAGGAAGGGCAGAGATCATGGCTGTCTCCCAGGACAAGAGGAGACAGCTGTTAGTCCCAGGCAGGCACAAACAGCAGGAGACAGTTGATTGGTAGTTGATTTTTGTCACGTTTTCTAGCCATCAGACCAATGCCTTCTGTTCCCTTAATTTCTGTCCTTCGCTTATCGTCCCTTGCTGTCTCTTCCCAGCCTTTCTGGTCAAAACAAGTATATCATTATTCTCTTCCTTGTATTTTTTCATATTTTTTATTTGAAAATTTCTTGTGCATATTACTCATTTAGTAATTTATTTTTTCAAGACAGGGTTTTTCTATGTAGCTCCGGCTATCTTGGAACTCACTTGTAGACTAGGCTGACCTTGAACTCAGAGATCTGCCTGCATTCCAAGAGCTGGGATTGAGGGTATGCACCACTATGCTCAGCATCAACTAATAATTTATTTTGGGATTTATTTTCTAATTTATGCATCAGGACATATTCTACCTAAGCCACACCTCTGAGTCCCACATGTTTTGAAATGTTTTTTAATTGTCAGCTGGTTCAGGTGTTGGCAAGGTGGTTCAGTGGGTAAGGACATTCATTGCCAAGTCTGATGCATTGTTTACTTTTGGGGGGGTTGGTCATTGTTTCTGTTGTTGTTGTTATTGTTTTGTTTTGACACAGCTCTGGTTGTGATAGAACACCTTGACCCAAAGCAACTTGAGGAGGAAAGGGTTTATATAATCTTACAATTTACGGTTCACTGAGGGAAAGCAGGGCAGGAACTCAAGGCAAAAACCTGGAGGTAGGAGCTGAAACAGAGACCACAGAGGAGTGCGGTGTTGTAGGCCAGACCTCCTGGACTAAAGTGATTCTCTTGCCTCTGCCTCCCAAGTAGTTAGTACTGCAGGGGTGTGTCACTACCCCCAGCTTCCCTGGGATTTTGAAAGTTTAGTTGAATTTTAAATGGCATACAGTTTGCAGATGTTTGTTGACAGGCAATGATAAACTCATGCCTCCATTACCCCTGCCCTGCTGGTATGGTAGCTCAGTAGCTGAGGGGCATTCATGATCACCTGGCTGGATGGATGCTGTAGTTGGCAGCTTGAGCCAGGATCATCTGGATAGTCCATTGCTGGTCCAGGAAAAGACCAACATTCAAAGTATGTACAGTTTCTGTTCAGTGGGTACCATTTTGCATCTCAGTACAGTTTAAAGTTGCAAACCAGGAATCAGCACTCTGCAACTTAGAAGTGAACTCTCCTGCAGTATTTCTCAGTCCTTGAGAACCCTGGGCCCAGATGCCTCAATGCCCAGATTTGATATTCTGAACTGTCACTCACAGTGGAGGAATCTTGGGCTAAGTTTTTTTTTTTGTTTGTTTGTTTGTTTGGTTGGTTGGTTTTGGTTTTTTGTTTTTAGTGCACTAGTCATCTCTTCTATGAACTAGGATAAGAAAACTGTATTCAAATTTGCCTAGACAGTTAAGTTAATGAATATATACATACAAAAAGCGACCACAGCTGTGCCTGCATAATAAGCACTCAGTGGGCTAGAGTTGTTTCTATCCACATGACCATTGAGTAATTGATACAAGATGATATGATGTAAATGGAGGAAGAGGAAGGCACAGGTCCTCTGCCTCATGCTCTGTTTGGAAAGAGGGGACATGATGAAGGCCATAAATGACCACAGAGATTCAGTCCATCTTGTTAATTAGGATGGTATAAATGATGAGCATGGACTACGAATCCAGACAGATTTGGGTTCAAATCTAGCCTCTGCTGCTAGTCCTATATGACTTCCCGACCCCTGCTGCCACCTAAGTTGTCTCTTTCTCTGAGTTTCCCATTAAGAAAAAAAAAAAATAATGTGGTTGATAATGCCCAATGCACAAGATTGTTAGAAGAAAAAAAAAAGTAAATTAAGTAAGACACTGACTGCATGGGGAGCAGCTGGTAGGGTACCAACAATGCCTGTTCCATTCCCTGCTCATTCTGTATCAGAGTGAACTAAAAAGACCATATTAGGGGGACACAGAAAGACATAATGGTAGTTCCAGTGTAGGGAGAATGGCGAAAAGGGAGTGGCCTTGTGCTCGTGTGTGTGTGTGTGTGTGTGTGTGTGTGTGTGTGTGTGTGTGTGTGTGTGTAGGGCTTATAGAGAGCCCAGATTAAAGTGAGTTTCCAGAAAGCATCGAGGAAACAAAGGAGCAGAAGCTTAGAGCCAGGGCTGGAGGCGGGTGTGTGGGTGGAGCCCTAGAATGGGCTCCTATGCACCCTTCACACTCAGCCTTTATGGCCTCCCTGAATCTCTGCCAGTGTGCTGTCCTTACCTCTGTTCATAGCAGAGGGTATCTCCCCTGGTAGAGAGTGAGGGATGATGGGAGGAGATTGACTTGGGTCTGCTTTTTTCTTACTCCTTCAGAATTTGAGATGAATGGCTGAGGGGGTTCTCTTATTGGATTTTCCTCCCATGAGTCCCAGTTCCAGGACAGGGGAAATCAGGAGACAAAGAAAAGAAACTTAGTAACTCACCCTGAGGAGGACATGAAAGGAGAAGATACAGGAAAGGCAGTGTGGCATAGCGGGCCCACACCCGAAGGCAGATTATTCTCGGAGAGCTGGGAAATGTGTGGGCCATGCCGACCCCAAGCCACCCAGCAGGCTCTCAAAGCAGCAGGACCATGCCCTAAGTGTGCCACAGGCATCTACTTACTGGCTTGGCCACCCTGTTCTGTACCGAACTAAACTGCCTATGGGATTGTGAATTCCTTCTAAAAGATCAGGAAAAAAAAAATACCTGAAGTAATTGTAGCGCTCAGGAAGGTACTGTTCTCTCTAGGAGCACACTTGAGTTGGCAGGCTCTAGTCTCAATTTTAATGCTTTTTTTTCTTTTATAAAAAATGGGAAGCCAGGGCTGGCAAGATGGTTCACTGGCAAAGGCACCTGCTGCCAAGCCTGATGACCTGAGTTTGATCCCTGGAACCCACATGGTAGGAGGAAACCATTCCTACAAGTTTCCTCTGAACTCCATGTACACATGGCATGTGGTTGTATGTGCATGCGTACATGCGTGTGCACACACACACACACACATGATATATACATGCACACATTCTAAATAAATGTAAAATCTTTTTTGTTTGTTTTTTGGGACAGGTTTTCACTGTGTAATCCTTGCTCTGTAGATCAGGCTGGCCTCCAACGCACAGAGATCCACCTGCCTCTGCCTCCTGAGTGCTGGGATTAAAGGTGTGTGCCTTATGCCTGGGTGTAAAATCTTTTTCTAAAGTATGGCATTGTATACCTATAATATAAGCTATTCAGAAAGTTGAGGCAGGAAGATCATGATGAGTTCAAAACCAGCGTGGCACCATTGTGAGACTCCATCTAAAACAAACTGTGAAGGCCTATTCTGTGCCCATTCCTGTCCCTTTGCAGTGTCCTTCTTACTGTACTGCATCCTTCTGCCCTCCTCTGAGAGCTACAGCAGGAGAACCATGTGACTCTCTGCTGTCTTTCCTTTGTAAAGATCTTTTCTAAGAATGAAGCCTGAAAATCAGGCCCACGGAAGAAATACAACTGATAGCTTAAGGTGCGCATGGGGATATTGGCATAAAAAGATCCATTCCACCTTTAGCAAATATTTATTGAACATCTATTACATACCAGGAAGGCTTCTAGATTTTGAGGGTAACAGCAGAAAAGAGAAATGTCTTGTGCACCCCTCACCAGTAAAGAAATTATATCCTTGCAGAAGTAGAGGACCAGTTCCAGTAAGAGAATACTGACTAGCATGAGTAACGTCACGTCATAGGAAATGCTGAAGGCAAGACTTTAGCTGGTGAGGGAAAACCTCTATAAACAGTGTCCTGAAACACATGTACAAGTAACATCACACAGACTGAACAGGTTATATTTAGGAATATGTATTATTTGTGTTTATATATTTAGGATTATGTATGCATACACGTGTAATGTATACATACATAAGTGCATACAATAACAGTTAGTGAAAAATGGCCATGAATTTGAAGGAGAGTGGGAATGGTGGGTTTATAGGAGGGTTTGGAGGGAAGGAATGGAAAGGAGAAATGTTTTAATTAAGTTATAATTTCAAAAACTAAAAAATATATATAAAAGGAGTCGTCTTAGCTCAGATCCACCGATGCAAAGATCTAGAAGTCTACGGCTGAGAGAAAGACAAAATTAAGGATGTAGTTATGGAGTTTGTAATATCCTAGATGCAGAAGGCAGCCAAGTCAGAGGCAGACAGCAATGGGCTTAGTGACAAAAGGCTGGGCAGAGGCCACCACCCAAGTTTGCAGGGCCTCAAAAGCCAAGGTGTGTCTGGCTTAATCCAAGCATCCTCGGTGGGTGCAGGCTCAACAGCACCAGGATCTGATTTACAGGATGGTGAGGGTGGGGGAGGGGGAGAGTGGAAATTGGAGCTGCAAGGGTCCAAAGGTAGAGTGTTTTGGGCAGGTGACCTCAGAGCTAGAGGACTGAGACTGGATTTGGGATGCATTTTGGGGGTGTGGGGAGGTGGAGGGAGGGTGCTGTGCCATGCTGGGCTTTTGTCCTCTGCTCCATGTTTTCAGTTAAAGCATCCTAAGGCTTGTGAACTGATTGTGTCATGACATGACCACAGTATTGAAAGGCAAACTAAGCTCCTACTTCATTTACTGCAGATTGCCATCAGAGGGGAAATTCCATGTGCGCAGAATGTCAGGTGGTGTATTTGGGGTCCTGTAGCCATTGTCAAAATCTGAATTTTTTTTTTCAAGCATCACAGTAACAAATCACTTTCAACCATTTAGAGTGTTCAAACCAATTGCCAGCATATCAAATGCCCTCACCAGAACTGATCTAATCTGAATGCTGCTCCCTAAACTAGTTAAGTCTGCTTGCAGTAGAAGCAGATTTTAGATTTTGCATAGTACTGCTCCCTCGTGAGCAGAGGAATAAGAGCTTATCTGTCACTTGTATTTGAAACAAAGCAATGTAGGAAGACACAACCAAATGTTTACAGTGGGGATATTTGATAGTAGAACAGTTATGTGGCTCATGTCTCTGCTCATTTCTGGTTTTCTCCAAATTCTTCAATTACAAGAACTGCTTTTGAAGATCCACAAGTGCTTTTTTTAAAGTTTAGTGTAGCTAGAGTGGCTATTCTGTTATTCCTTACGGTTCATAATGAAAGGATGTAACAAGTTGTATGCGGGCTTGGGAAAACCGTTCTGAGACCTTGCTACTATGCATTCTAGATGACTGTGGGACAAGTGTTAACATCTTTGGTTTCTCTTTTTTAAAAAGTAGATTTTCAAGAAGCTGCCAAGATGTGTAAGAATGCTTATGGATGCCCTTAAAGAAGACAAGATTGTCTTCCCCAGTGATGAAAAGTAAGGAAACCAAGATGCTTGCTATGGCTCCTGAATAACCACCATGGCATACTAGATGAGAACTCAGGGTATTGTCTGTCCTTCTTTCTGTACTCCATGCTAGTTCTAGGACATGGGCAGGGCACATTTCAGGGTCTGCTGTTCTCCTTATGTCCGAATGAATGCTTTCTCCAATCCAGTACTTTCTCTGACACCGTAAAGATGCATCTTTATGAGCCCCATGAAAGCCTGCTGGGGTTGAGTCTAACAGTCTATGGGGCTCCCTGACTACTAGGTCTTATTTCCATGTAGCCCAAACCCAGGCAATACCAACCAGCCCACTCAGCAATAGATACAATGATTAGAATAACTTAAGGATGTTTCCAAATAGGCAGTTGTTAAGATATCCTTTTTCCTATGTCGGCACAAGGAAAACTAGCATTCTGAGCAGTAACCACTAGTGATGAATTTGGAAGGATACAGAAAGGCCTGAGTGAGCCCGAGAGGAAATCTTTCTCCATTCCTTCAACCTTTTGTATTGTCAAACTGAGCTGGCTAAGTCGTTAATCACACCTGGTACTGCACGTCCAAGCTCTATTTTTTATGGGGTGAAGTAAATAAATTGCTCCAAGAAGGTCTCATGCTCTGTGGTAGTTTTGTTATTTTTTATTTCTCTTGTTTTGTAGATCTTTAAAGATTTATTTTAATCTTACTGGTGTGGGTACTGTGTCTGTGCACCAGTACCCAAGATGGCCACAAGAGGGAGTCAGATCCCCTGGGATTGGAGATGGTTGTGAGCTGTTAGATGGGGCACCTGGAAGAAGCCAGTGCTCTTATCCACTGGGCTATCTCCCTATTTTGTAGACTTTTAATTAAAATACTTCAGACATTACACAATGAAGTTTAATAAAGAAAAAGATAAGGGTCTACTAATGCCATGTAAATCTATTATTTCAATGTGTATTTTGTTTAGTATTATTAAAATTCACATAGAAGTGAATTCAATTGCATGAGCAAATCAAACAGTGACACATGGATAAAATTGGTTACTTACTAGGTGAAGTTTTGCACATACAAAGCCGTGACTCCTTGGAAGGAAGACTTTATTTTTTGTGCTTTGGGCAGATGCCATGTGTCATTAAACAGTAACTTAAGAGCTCGGGTTGAAAACTTAAATTGGGTGCTCTTCTCCCGTCTTCTAGTGTGAAGTTCCTGTCCTCCCCACTTCTCATCTTGCATGGAGAAGACGACAGGACAGTGCCTCTGGAGTATGGAAAGCAGGTAGCTCAAGAGTTCTACCATTTCTTCACCTCGATGACCTTTGATTAGAGGTTGAAGGTCACTACCATAGGGATGCTCTATACTCCTAAAGAGTCACGTTCTCTGATCTATATGAGCATCTGTGCCCTAGTTACTAGTTTGAAGGAGTTTGGGGTAGGGGTAGACCTTTGTCCCTCACCTGGGGTCTGTGGCTAAGTGGGATCCCTGTGTTACCTCTAGTGATGTTCCCCTTTAAACAAACCTGTGCTGGCATGGGCCCATAGCGATGCTTAGAGTCTTTGCAATGAGGTGTGGCGAGAAGATGGCTGGCTGGCTCATCAGCATTTCTATTAGTCATGGGCATTCTGGTCCTTAGCTGTAGAAATGGCCAACGGAGGACCTGAGGGTCCCTAGGGTCTAACTTGACGAGAGACTCCCCACGTTACTTTCTCTTTTAGGGAAGTCATTCTAGGAGATCTGCAGCTGGATATCACCACCTTTAACTGTCCTTTGCTTCTCCCACAGCTCTATGAAATTGCACACAATGCTTACAGGAACAAAGACAGGGTCAAAATGGTGGTCTTTCCTCCAGGTTTCCATCATAACCTTCTTTGTGAAAGCCCTTTGCTACTGAGAAGTGTGAGGTGAGAACTACTCTTGCTAATTGTGACCCAGTTAGCTTTGCTGCCACAGGGATCAGGGCAGTCCTGAGTTATTCAGACCAAGTGTGAGCTGACCTAAGCCTTCTTTTCTGCAGAGACTTCCTGAGCCAGCAGTGGGCCTGAGGGCCGGGAGGAGCAGAAATCGCCAGTGAAGATGGGGTACAAATGTCACCTGAGCTGTGTGCTTTCTTTGTGCAATATTGCAATGGGCTACTTGGATGAGCCAAAGCCCCTGATGCTTCCAAAGGCCACCTGCCGTTGAATAAAGACAGCTGCATGGAATGTTCTTTAGGTCATCATCATCTGCCTTGAGAATCATGCCAAATCCTCAATGTGGAGAACCAGAATTTAATACAATCTGATCTCATCTATAAATGTCCACTTATGAAAGCTTCTGGGCTATTTGTAAGGTGGTTACAAATGCCATTGTCTGTCAAGATGGGACAAGAAGGGACCATTTAGAGAGGGGACCATTTGGGGGAGGCATGTAGGAACCAGAAAGTGCTTCCCCCCAGACACTGAACCTATGAGTCCCCTGTACTTGGCCTTCTCTCATCTTCAGAACTATGAGACTAAATTTATGTTGTTTGTAAGTTATCTAGGTTAGCACCTTCTGATATGACAGCTTGAAGGGACCGAGGCAGCAGTCTGGAGCTTGTACTCTGACACTAGTGGATATTTTACCTCAGTTCCTTTAAATGGCCTTAAACTGTTCCAAGCAGTTTTCTGGCTACCTGGTTACTTTTGAGGAAAGTAATCCTAGCAGGCTATGGATTGACAACTAGAAGTCTACATTTTATTTTTCATCTCTAATACAGCCATATTTTATTTTTCATCTCTAATACAGCCATATGTTTTCCTTTCCCATTCCCAGAGACACTTAACGGATTATTCAATAACAAATAAAATCAACAAAGCTATAAAAGTATTCAAGTTCAATGAGAAGTCATTCCTTTCTGAGAGACATTTTCCTGTCACTCCCCGTTGATCCCCCTGCTAGACTCGTTGGATAGGGAAATCTTCAGATCCGAGGGCTCCATGTTCCAGATGTCCTTGGCGTATTCCTTAATTGTCCGGTCACTGGAGAATTTCCCTGAGGCAGCTATGTTTTTAAGTACCATTGTGTTCCAGGCTTTTTGATCCTGTAAATAACATAAACACATACAGGGTCTGTGCCTGGCACGCTTTGACGAACACCAGGCCAAACACACTTCATAGAGGAAAAGACAGTAACAAACTAGAATGACTTATAAATGCATTTGCTCTGCTGACAGCCAGCTAGAGAAGACTACACTTGCTTCACAGAGTATATGTCTCTTAGGGATGAAAAGCTGTTTTCATTTTAAGGGAAACCACGGGCATAGTGTGGTGGTAGATGTTTGTAATCCCAGCCTTCAAGAGGCTAAGGCAAGACGATCTCAAGATGAAACCCAGCCTGGGCTACACAGACTCTCTCTCAAGAGAGAGAGGACCAGAAAGCAAGCGAGTGAGAGCAACAGTATGAACATGCAGAGAGGGGGTTGTGGGGGACGTGAGAGGGACAGAGATGGCAGAGGGAAGGGAGGGAGGGAGAGAATGAAAATCTATGGATGGGAATTCTCTAATTGGTAATCCTACTAGGGTTCTAGTGTTTTAGCATGCAAGCCATGTTTCCCATGCATTATTGTAAGTGGAAAGACCTGGGATGGAGAGACGGCTCAGTGGTTAGGAACATCTGTCAGTCCCTTAGAGGACCTGAGCTCAGTTCCCAGCACCTCTACTGCTGTAACTCCAGCTCCAAGGGACCCAATTACCTCGTCTGAGCTCAATGGGCACCTGCACACACTTAGCATCCACTCTCATAAACACACATACATAAAATAAAATTTAAAAATAAAGGGGACAACCTTTCTTCCACCTAAAGGGGGAAAAGGGACTAATATTCACTATCCATTCAAAGAGGTTTAACTTTGACTTGAAAGTTCAGAAACCAGTGAACATTATCTAACAGCAATGGAAAGTTCGGCTTCCTTGCTCCTTTTGAAGGCCTATGCTTTGTTAAGTTTGTTCTGAATCGCCACAACTCTACTGGGGCTTCAAAATAGGGTGAACTAGGGTTTTATTCTCAATCAAAAAGACCTACAATTTTACATTTGTAAAAGAATATAAACTCACAGCTTCTTATTTTTTCTTAAAGATCTCCGAGTTCATTGGAATTTACTCAACGTTGTTAATGCATTAGGAAAACGTTAAAAAAAAAAAAAAAAAAAATCAAACTATCAGGATACGCTAGGAAGCTACAGAGAAACCCTGTCTTAAAAAAGCAAAACTAAAGGGGTGGGAGGTGGGGAGAAAAACCAACCAGGCTGCTTAAGGGAAAAGGGGCTGAGCTCGGCAGGGAGAGACCCCTCGCACCTGAGGCCTGTATCCTGAGTTTCTGGGAAAGGCCTTCTACACAGTAGGTGCTTGATGAATACAATTCTCTGGTGACTCTTTTTTTTTTTTTTTTTTTTTTTTTTAAGTAGAGCAACGAAAAAGGCTGCTACTGTTACTGAAATCTCAAATTCCAACATCTGGAACAGCCCTCCCGGTGTGTCTTGTAAACTGGAAAAAGACAGACTTGGATCTGAACATCTGCAAAGTTCTCTCACTGTTTATCTCTTCCCATTTTATTTTGGTGGCACTGTGGGAGGAAGTTGTCAAACCCAGAGCCTTGCGCGTGCTAGGCAAGAGTTCTACCAAGCCTTTCTCTGTTTGATTGGTCAATGGGGCTGTTATTTAGATTTCATAAAAAGAAAAAATAATTAACGAACCCATCACATACTCACCATATACAGCTGACTGACTTTTTCTTGACACTTGACATAGGCTTCGTAGTCTGCAAAGACTTTAAATCTGTATTTGTTTTTTGTATGTGCGAGGTTGGAAGAAAAAAGACAGAACAGATTCATGAACAGAGATTCTACTTTATATCCTCTTTTGCTAACTGTCAAGCACGCCCAGCTTACCAACAAGAATAGTCACCATTTTGTGGTTCCCTTATGCAAATATGTCATTGTGCATATGTGTGTGTGAGAGAGCTGAATGTATCAGTGGAGAGAGAAAAAAGAACACAAGATTTGAGTCTTATTCTCAAGCCTTAAACATTTGTGGAGGATGTCCCACCACCAAGCTTCTGATAGCGAATCAGATCACAGGTCTGTGCTAAATTACACCAGTGGGTTGCTGCTAGTTTGACATGTTTTTGTCCCATGTTCATGCATCAAGTCAGACCACCCGGGAACCCACCTGTCATGATAAAACAGCATGTTGATGATGTCTTTGAAGAGCTCAGGCTGAGTGGGAGAAAAGAAGCCATTGTCAATTTGGTCAATGGCCAGCTTCAGTTCTGGAAGGGCCTCATAATATTCTTTTGCCTCGTACCTGTAGCAAAGGGTGGGTGGATGATGGGAGAAAAGGCTGCATTAGTGTGTGTGACGAGCAGCACACCAGATAACCCATTCACTGTAAAACACACACAAAAACACCAGCATTTAAACAATTCGTTATAGATTTAAACATGAGTACAATACTAGATCCTAATTTATACCCTCTCAACTGATGCATTCCTCATAATCAAAAGCATTAAGAACAGTAGATGATGAACATTGTAGTCTAAGCTGATAGAATATGGTAAGGTTCATGCTCTAAAGAGCATGGTGTGAAGGGAACCAGTTACTTTCTTTGGGCCCATAAAACATTTGGATTCATAAAACTTGATGAACTTTACTTCTAAGTGTCAGAAAGAATATTTAGCATCCTCTGAATTTCCTGAAGCTCCTTTGGGGTTTTGCTTGAACTCAGGTTAATAAACCCAACTGTATATTAAATGAGAGCAAACACCCCTCTGAGGCTCATCTCTCCACACTCTGTTGTATTCTGGCCCATCTCTCAGAGACATTATGGGAGCACCAGATATTGGTTTGACTTATTGACAAGAGCATCTGAGGAGATAGTACTTCCTCTTTGAATCAAAGTTTAAAAAAAAAAAAAAATCACAGACACAGGAAGATGCAAGGTTCACTAAACTGCTGTGGCTGGTAACCATGGCAACTTGCCCATGCATCTGCCCTAAGCATCCTTTAGTTACACTGGCTGGGTAACTAAGGCTAGCTGTGTCTAGCATGTCCTGACTCCTAGAGAAAAATGTTCTGTCTCTGCATCTCACGAGATCAGCCTTCAGCGGGATGCCTGCATGAGCATGCAGCAAACCCTTGGAGATAATGTCCCTTCTTGGGAGTGACCTGCTTGACAAAGGAGAGTGGCTCTCACCCTTTCTTGTCCAAAGCGGCCACATCATCTACTCTCATTCCAAAGATGAACAGGTTCTCCTCCCCGGCTTCCTCTGCCATCTCCACGTTGGCCCCATCCATAGTCCCGATGGTCAGGGCCCCGTTGAGCATGAATTTCATGTTGCCCGTCCCTGAGGCTTCCGTGCCCGCGGTGGAGATCTGCTCCGACAGATCTGTGGCTGGAATGACTGTAAGCAGGCCATGTCAGTATGGTGGTTCGTTTTCTCTGGCTCCTTAGTGTGAGCATTGATCTAGCTGGCTGTGGTTGACCTCATGACCATGTGCAGACCCTGGTACTCCTTCAGTGGTATAGAAGGACAGAGCTCACTTGCTCCTTGACGCAGGCAGCTACTGTGCCATTATGTACCTGGGTGCTTATCGTTCTTTAGTCTACTTTAACTCTACTGGCTCTGAGCTATGAGCTGAACATTGTCCTTCTCCCTTTTCATCTCCCCATTTTTATTCTTCTGCTTTATAAAACATATTGCATCTATTTAATTCTTTTTTTCAGGGACTGAACTGTCCCTCCTCTTTCTCCCTTTACTGTCACTGCAGTTGAGGTGTTCTGTGCCTGGGTGGGGCTAGGCTGCCCCCTCAGCCTCAGGCACACCCAAATCCCACCTGCTCACCCTCCAAACCTCTTCTCCACAGAGGCCAAGCCTGAGCCTGCCTTGTCGGAGAGCGTATTTGTGGATTGGATTTGCGCTCATCTGTAGTTTTAGGAGTCCGGATACACTTTCTCTTTATGCAGAGGCATTTAAGCAGTGACCCCATGGGACCCCAAAATACCACAAAGAGAAAGCTGACTTTTACATTTTTCAATCTGGGTGGAAACACGGTTGGCATTGGCTGGTGGGCGGCTTCTCTCCCGGTAATGAATTGTGAATAAAGAAAGGTCCCAGTGGTAAGGAAAGGGACATTGGCTTCCTGCCTGCTTGCCTG